ACGAGGACGTCCTTGTTCGATACCCATCATCTTGGAATATTACCCAAGGATATTTTATCTGTCTCTTCTTGTGACGAGAAACTCGATTTTGAATAAAAAAAAAAAAAAAGAAAGAAAGAAAGAAAGAGAAGAGAAGAGAAGAGAAGAAAACAAGTGTGTCTTTTTATGGTAGCGGCTTTCGTAAGCTTTGTAAAGGGATTACGACGAAAATATGGGAAATAGTTGGAAATAGAACACTTCTCGTGTGAGATCGATCGCGTGAAAATGTTTCACCTACATTTTAGCGAGGAATTTTATTACAAAAAATTTCCATAAATTCTCTGACTGAGTTTGAATTGGATTTTTTAATGGATTGGAAGGAGATAAGATATGATTATGAACATCAAATACGGTAAATCGTAAAGCGTTAAATATCGTAGGTATAAATGTTAGAAGCGAATGCTTGCAACAGTTACTTCCAACGTTACTTTTAATCCTTTTATTTTTCTCTTCCTTCGATCTTTAATTTCTTACGTGTTCGCGTATAGGAATTTGGATAATTTCGAAACGAATCCACGTTTGGAGGCGCACGTGGAAAACAAACACTAATAATGGAATTAATATAGGGCGGCTGGTTGACAGCGATAACGAAAATTGATTTCACCCTCCACCCTCCTGTGCTCCTGAGGCTCGCCTCGGTACAGGGGTCCTATTTGAACGCGTTGACGTTTCATGGGACACTGCGCAAACCAGCCGACACGCCTCTTTTCTATTAGCGCGCACTGCCGACCATAATTCTTCTACGTGTTCGACCATATTCCATTCTCGGTTAGATTTTCCATTCTACTTCATCCGATGTTCAGATATCTTATAACAATACGTAAGCAATTCTGGACGCGATAACACTATCGTGGCATCGTTAAATCTGCGATTTTATATATTACGCGTTCTTGTATCGTGGAAGAGGAGAAATTTCACTTTCGATTTTATTGGTTTGGATGGTTAATTTAAAACAATTTATATTTATTTATATTAAGAGTCTATTTAGAGTTGAAATGTAACAGCTGTTCTTCTTTTTTCTTTTCCGGATTTATAGGGAAGAATAAACGGAACAAAAATTTAATGTAATTCTATGTGAATGGAATATGAAGTATCTATGGATTTTCAAATAAGTTTTTTTTTTAAAAAGATAGAAAATAATTTCACCGATGTTCGACCACACGGATTATGTTTTACAGGAGATAATGCTAATACTTGATTCGTATTCGTCGGCACGCGCAAATTAAGCCGTATGTTACTAACCTGTGGGAAACCGCTACAAAATACATTCCAAACGATTTTTCCACCACAAGGGAACTCGTCGAAATAAATCTTGAGCCAACGTTAAAATCAATCACATGAAAATCAAATATAATGTATATCTTTGTCACCTTCTTTGCATAAATTGTAGTGGATATGAGAAATTTGTTAACAAATTTTTACTTTAAAATTACTCATGGGCGGGCAATGATTGAATTCAAAGAAAAAGCATAAGATTGAAAAGATGGTTCAGAGAGAAATAGGACAAGGATAATGCTGATTAAGAAATTTGTTAAGTATATCGGTCAAATATAACAACAAATGTAAAATATCTATAAAAGACGAATTCATCTTGTGTGTCAGATATCTATCGGCATTATTTATTCATATTTTTACCACATTTCTCTGTTCCAGAAATACCATATGCGGCCGCAATAATGGATGAACGAAGAATGAGAGAAAAAAAATCACCCCTCAAATGGGGTGGCATCTACGAATAAGGCACGCGACTCCATTCAAGGATAAGGCACGTGCCATTTATACGCTTTTTATCTTCAGATTAAGGTGTCAGATAAAGTTAAAAACCGGGATCCTAATAACGGCATTAAAAGATACTACGCATACGGTCTTAAATCACCCTCTTAATTCGTGAGATCGTTTTCTCTTTTCTTTTTTCTTTTTTTCTTTTTCATAATCGCGCATATTTCTAGGAATTTTTTAAAACCGCAATCGATATCCCAATTTCTTCTTTTTCCCTATATTAACAACAATAGCTCAACAAATTGCTCAAGTATCCATCGCAATGAGCTCTTTGTTCCATCATCTGGTTCTGTGACAATGGATAAAGAAAGAGTTTCAATGAAGTCGTTCTTTTGTTATCGGTGCGTCATGTGCATAGAGGCTCATGACTAAATCTATCTCCACCTTCTTCCTGTTTCATCCCGCTAACATCTGACTCGAAGATGCCTCCTACACAGTTAAACAGCAATAACATCGACTCGTGTCCTATCTAATCGCGAACGTTATCAAAACCGTACCGAAGCTTATTTTTTCTTTTTCTTTTCCCCCGTCTTGAGCCATTCATCTACGTAAACGTTCTTGCTGTAATGTTCTTTACACGATTTAAATCATCGATATTTCAATAATATGTTATGCTCAATATACATAATTATTTTTATCACTTATCTAACAAAATATATTTATCTATAACTAGTCAATTCTGTAAAATTATACAATTATATTATATATTATATATAATATAATATATAGCGATGCAACGTGACACGTAATTAACATGTTAAATTACGTTCAATAATTTATTGTGTTTAATTTAATCGTTAATTTTCTATAGTGATTTCGAGTTTAGATCAAAATTATCTAGCTCCCACGCAGATTGGCCGGTAATAGCGCTCGAATGAACACGATCGGAGATTTAATCATTTAATCGGGATCGCACGATGACACTCCTCGATTCATCCCGCTGGAAAATCTGTAGCACCCCTCCCGAGGTGTCACAATAAAACAGCTCGTGGCTGGTGGCCACTTGACAACTAGGCTAGGGGCTTCTCAACCCCTAATGTATATTAAACAAGCCTCCTCTCCTTCCCCCCCCTCTCCTTTTTTTTTTACACCTCCCCGTTGACTCTGCGGGATTCGGCTAATAAGAATCTAATTGTTTGGGAACTTGGGAGAAAGAAACTTTTCGATGTAAAAAAAAAAAAAAAATCTTATCGTGGAAAAAAGTGTTTCCACGATAAATATTAAATGTATTATATAATTGGAAACTTTAATTTATGGGAAATTTAATTTTTGAATGAAGAATCTTAGAATTGTTTTTGAATAATTAAGAAAGTAGTATAAAAATTGTATTCATAACGTAGAATAAAATTTTCACAAATATCGATTCGATCTTCTTCTTCGTTTTTCTCTATTTATTTATATATGTTTGTTGTGTTCATCGATTTATTTCATGATTAGAATGATTTCATAAATGAAAATATATGAAATCATGCGTTTTCTTCACGCTTTCACGGAATTAAAGAGAAAAGAGATATGGTAGATGTGTATAATAATTTGATTCAAAGTGAATTATATGGAATAATATTTCGAACAATTTCTATATTAAGTAAAAAGTAAATATATTAAAAAGTGATTATCTTATTCTATATTCATTCACATGACTATTCTAATACAAAATTAAATAAATTGATGGAATTAACGGAGAATAAGGAAAACATCGTTTATAAATATAAACAATAGGAGAAATAATCTATATCAAAATCCGTGAAATACGAGAATTACATTAATACACACGTATTGACGGTCAAAATCGTTTATATTTAAATTGAAACAGTATTTATACAGTTATTTTAAATTTTATTATATTTTTATTATACTTATTTTATTGACTTGGTTTTTCATCTTTCTAATTATTCTATATAACGATAAATTAACGATAATGATTTAAAATAATTCTAAGATTCTTCGTTTAATAAATATACAACAATCTTTATTTCGTTGTAACAAATAATTCTTACTATATTATACTAATTTTCTCAACTTTCCTTGAGAAATTATCTTTTTCTTTTTATTATTGTACATTATAGAAATACCCTATAAAATATATATTAGAAGATTTTTTAACTTTTCAGATTATTATTAGAATCACAATGAAAAGGAAGAAGTTTCGTTTCAACCATGCGAAATAATTTTACGTAATTTTAGTTCACCGTTTTATCGTAACACCGTTTGAGAAATGTTGATATAATTTTATGACGATAGATATCTACACGTTTTAATAATACGATACAATTTTTTTCATAGTGAACCACAAGTGGACAATCAATATTTCTTTCTTCTCGTCCTGGTTTAACGTGGGGGTTTAACAGCGACCTAAGGGTGTTTGGGGGGATGCTGGATACGCATGGAACAGTATGGGACGGTCCAGAGAGGAGCTCCACCCATGAAGCCTGCGCTCCGCCTTCGCAAAATTCATTTTCTCGGGGGTTGTACTACACTTTCTATTAGTTAAATCGTCCCGTTTGAACTCGCCAGTCGGTTTAACAACGATCGTGTCCTTGGGAAAACTGTTGACATCCCCGAATTTTCGTAGCCCGGTTTACTATAAAGTGACAGTTATATCAACGTATCTCGCATCCCAAATGAGACAGTGTTAAGGTGAAAGTGAGATATAATTGAGATACCTTTCAGTATGGTAAGGATCCGTCCTATTAATCATTCGTGTTAATAAGTGATTGGTGTCGTAAAAATTACGAATTAAGACGAATTAATCTTTCGTTCTCACTGTGATTCAACGTAGCTGAAAAATTTCGATAATTTCCTCAAAACGCTTTCCTAAATCTTCCACGAGTGCGTTTTCCTTCAAAAAAAAAAAAAAGAAAAGATTCGTTCATCAAGATGCGCGCACCGAATATCCTTCTTCTCTCTTTCCCCTCATAAATAACGTTCGAATTAATTAATTATAAAACGTGATATAGCTCATGCCTATTGGCCTATTGAATGTCAGGGACGAAAGAGAGGTTGCGATAAGAGCATCCTGTAGGCGCCTATTTAATCTAATTTTGTTCACGATAATTCATCCGGATTTCCCGCATCTTTTGTCACTCATCCTCTTCTCCCTCCGATCCGATCAGTGAATTCACGTTGCTTACTCGAACTCGTCGTCCGTTTCGAAGGTGCGACGCGAAAAGTCGGGACGAAATATGATCCGAGCGAAGTCGAGACGATTAATTAATAAATTGCAGTCGATGCTGACGTACAATGGCTGCGGCACGGTGGACACGGAGAACGGTTCTCCAGCGGACTCGCTATTGTCCGTCGAAGGAGAGCTGGCGGAGGAAGTCGGCGATTCCCCGGGCACGTCGAGGGACACGGAGGAGGAAGCGACCCTCTCGGATGAGTTTTATTCCCATGACACCGACGAGGAAGAGGAGCAAGGCAAGAAACGGCGAGATCGAAACAATTCCGTGAGCAAAATTCTGATAATCGATCTTAATAATCGATCATCGTTCGATTATGTTGCGAAATGACCGATTTCGCAAGTGTGTGAAATCAATCGGGATTTAATTGTGTGTACGATTTAAAGATAATTGTAATTGATCGTTGGACGATAAAAATGCGAATCGAGTATTGGACGAGTGATGAATGAACGGTCGAATTCGAGTCGATTTTTCTTTATATAAATTTAAAATTTAATGTGCGAATGTAAAAGATGCAAGTAACATTGATAGAATCTTTTAAAAAGATTACGTTCTGATTGGTGTGAAAAATTTAATCAAATTGACGAATAGAAATATTGAGAATAAAGCAAGGATTTATATAGTATATTTATTTTAGTAGTAATTTTAATCAATATTATTTTTAATAGAACGTGAGAAGAACTCGGTCATTTTTATCTGCAACAATTTATAACAATTGTGAAATTTTTATAAAATTTTTATTAAAATTAGTAATAATTTCGTAGCTAGATGGTATTTCGTCCTCTGGAGGTGGTCTTCTCGGCTCGCCTACATCTCGAGTAGGGACTCTGGGCGTTCGAAAATTGTTCACGAACAGTCGTGAACGTTGGAGACAGCAGAATGTTAGCGGAGCTTTCGCCGAGCTTCGAAAATTAGTCCCTACACATCCACCGGACAAGAAATTGTCGAAGAACGAGATATTGCGTATGGCGATTAAGTAAGTTTTAAAACGAGTCTAATAAACCTCTTAAACAATGAATAGTAATTCTTACTTAAACGAGCATGATCGCATTTAATGACGTGTGATGAATTATTTGTATAATTGTCAAGAATAATTTAACAAATAATTTATTTATTTAAAACGGTGAACAATGCAACATTCATTAATTTTATACGCTTGGTTAATTTTTTATTCTGTATCTTCTCTATCAAGATATGCGAATTTCATATTTCCTCGCAGAACTCTCTAAAATTTCTATACTTCACCAGGTACATACAGCTGCTGAGCAACGTTTTGGAATGGCAAAAGACTCAAGAACGAAACGAGGGGATGCAGCACGAGGTGAGGATAAAATGCGAGCCGAATCTGAACGCTCAAAATTCAACGGGCCATCACGCAAAATCGACAGTATACTTGAAGCAAGAGAAACAAATGAACGAAAATCACGCATATAAAACGAGCTTCACCAGCCAGAAACAGTTACAGCATACGATTTCTCACATTGTGTGTGATAAAAATGGTAATAACTTGTTAATGATAGCGCCTTCCGGCCATAATGTATCGAATTCTGTTTGCAAAAAAAGTATAACACCATCAATGACCGTTGCGCAAAATTCTCTTACGGCGAATGCATTGAGCAACGCAAGTCTAACGCGACCCCCTGGTTCACGACCTTCGATTTATCCAAAGTCGCCTCAGATAAACGTACAGGTTGTAAGTAGCTCGAGTATTTTGACTTGTTCAAGTGCGCCTGTAACGAGCAACGCATCCACCATTACCGGAAGTGTAGCAAATTGCGGGCAGAAGAGGTTACTGAAGATCGAGAAGGAGGAAGAGGAGCAAATGGTTCAAGGGCAAAGTAGAGATTGCAAAGGTTTACCATCTACGGTGCACGGTGTGCTCACGAGGAAAAGAGTGAAGGTGACGTTCATTAAAGAGTCGAGTTCAGGATTTCGTACGAACGAATTTCGGAACGTCGAGCGGAAGTAAGGACGTGCGTATGAACATTTAGGTATAATTCTTTTCGATCGATCGAAACCGTTTGTAACTGAGAGAGAGAGAGAGACAATAATCGATCGAATTATTCGAAAGTAGTTTGTAATTTTAACGGAGAAACTCAATTGTGAGATCTTGATCTTTGCAAAAAAATTTATTCGTTCATTTGACTCCAATCAAGAGATTTGATTTAATATAGCATAATATTTCGATAGGTGCAATCTCACTTGCAATATAGATTGAATAGTTTTCAGAGTCTTGAACTTTGTAATTAATCTTTCTTAAAGAATATTTTATTAGTCATTGAATCATATTACATGATTTGTGTGTACGGCACATTAGGTATATATTTTTTTTTTACACTTTCATAGTTTATGTTCAATTGCGATTGTATAGATTTATACACGATTTAACGCGACATCCCTTTCAATATCAAACATCATTTATCGAAAATTCAAACTTTACACGAGACAGCGATACATTCCTTTTATAATTCAACAATGTCGCTACAAATTATGCAAAGATCCTTCATATATAAAATATCATCTCCGTACAACGCATAATATATTAAACTTGACACTGAACAGTGGCAGAAGGGGAGGATTTTGGGTGCTTGTTAAGTAAACGATTACACATGTAATATTTGATTATTAAAATAATTGCCTCACTGACGATCAAAGTTCCTCGCATGATTAAATAAATGATCGAAAACGCACGTATCTTTTTTTTTTTTTTTTTCTTCTTCTTTCTATCTACCTTCGATTTCGATTCTTTCACATTTCAAATCTTACTCCTTCTTACCGCTCCCAAAATCGAATCAAAAATAATTTATTCACGAATCAAAAATAAATTTCTCGAAAATTTACGTCAGGTACACTTTATATCTCGTACTGTCCCTCTTCTGGCGTTCGGATACCTGTTTGAGACGAGCAGCCGCGTAACGATCGTCGTTCCATTCTATTGGCGGGACAGGCGTCGATGGCCTCTCTTCCGTTTGACTGAAAGCCCTTCGTGGCGGAAGTTCCACCATTTTTCTGTTGTTTTTACAATCCACGCTCGCTCGTTTGTAATTGGCGATACTAGCGTAACTCGCATCACTCGCACGAGAATCTCTTTTCGTGGGAGTTAGGGGGGCCACCTCGGCATAGCTTCCCCTAGACTTGCTACTAGCGTCTGAGGGCCTCTTCTTCTCAGCCTGGAATCCACTTTCTTGCGAGTGTGTCGATCGTGTCGATCGAACCGAACTTACTGCACGCGTCAATCGAGCGGAATCCTCGGCGCGCGTCGATTTTATCGAACCTTCTGTACGAGCTGACCGCGTGGAACCTCGACGAGATATCTCGTCGTAGTCGTCGGAGTACGTTCGCCTCTCTTTGATCTTTGGCTTGGCTTGACCAAGATCCTCGCTGAATCGAAGCTTGTCGTTGAATTTTCTTAAACGTTCCTCGTATTCACTGTTGAAAACATCGGCACCATCTCGACCTCCTTCCTCTTTCTTCGACGTTAGTTTTGCTCTTTGATGATCCGATTGAACCCTCGTGTCTTTCGGCTGTGACATTTTCACGTTAAAATATATTTCACGAAATTGTAGGAAAGAAATATAGAAATTCGTTATTCGTTACCTTGATCACGTTCATCCTATCGTTGAATTCTAAATCTTGGCTATTCCTACGGATCGATAGATTCGGCCTTTCCTCTTCGCTGCTACTTTTACTGATCCACGTGTTTCCACGTCGAGCATTCATCGCCCTCTTCGGCCACTCATTCTCCGTTTTGAAATCGTACAGATCCCGCATGCGTTGGGTAAGCCTTTTAGATTGCTCGTTGGCATCCGGGGAATGCTTTGTCGATGATGAATCTCGATGATTCGACTTATCTGCAATATAAATACGTAAAATTTAAGAATATTCGGAACAACGGTCAATTATTTCTGTCTATATATATGCGACAAATATTTTATTTTGTAAATATACAACCAGGTATTTAGATAAATAATTATTACACCGAGATACAAGGCAATCCGCAGATCGATGTAACTTACAAATTGTTATTCGAATTAAATTAGATTAATTTTATATAAATCTTGTCAACGTTTGTTCATTCATCGCATCGATATCCGCAGAACACGATTGTACACTAATATCAAACGTATCGCGATAGCGTGTATATAAAATTCATGCTATTGTTCACCTTGTTTTTGGTTACTTTCCGTGTCAGACTTCGACACGGCCATTGGCGCGAATTTTCGCAATGGTTCCCACTTGGGCGATTCTGTTTTACATTTTTTAATCTGGGAGTTGTCGGTCGCGTGACACGCTTCCGCCGCGGAAGGCTTTCTTCCGGGTTCATTCGCGGTATCGGGCATGGAGACGGATTCTTGACGAACGTCATCCATCTGGTCGCGGCGTTTTTCGTGATTTCGCAGCTGTTGCTGATCCTTGCGAACGGAGATGCATCGTAGCGGAACCTTGAGGTGTTAATTGCGGTAGCCACCTAAAGGTATTTGGTATCAGAAATCCATTGTCGAGACTCGATACATTTGTTTAAGCGCCAGAAATGGTTCAGTTAATCAACGGTTTTCATTTTTTGTTTTATTGTCTTTTTTTTTTTTTTTAATATATATATATATTTACGTTATATTTACCGAACAAACGAAAGCTGCGTATTGCTTTGGCATTGTACCATATACATTTCTATCCACACAATGACCAACATCGAATTATTATTATTCTATTTACATATAATTTGCATAACGACAGAGTTAATCTCTAGTGATCGATTATTACAGTTAGTGCAACGTTTTCGCTACTTATCACGCGATCTTAAATTCGATTCGTTCATGGCATCGGTTTCTTTTTGACTAGGAAAATGTGCTCTGTCAACCTCGTCGCGATCGTTCTGGGGTCGCTGCATTCCGTATTCCTTCGTTCCTCGACCAGTTTCTCTTTCTTTGTATGGGTGACGTCCGCGCTATGACTCCTGCCGGCCGTCTGCCTGTACGTGATTGGCGTTTCGTTTTTCCGCCCTTCGGAGCCCTTCGTCCATTCTTCCTCCTTCGTAGGAGATAATTTCTTTGCTGTACCCTCGTTCGTTTTTCCACTGATATTCGTTACGATTTCCTCGGATTCGCTCGATACCGAACGCCGTTTCTCTTCGTCCCTCGATGGCTGTGCTGATGGCTTCTTTAATGCCGGTTGGATCCGTGTTATATTTTTCGGCAGTGGAATCCATCTGGAGGGATCTAGTTTGCTCGTGTCCGGTATCTCTGTGTGCCTTCTCTCCTCGACACGTCTCTCGGTGTATTCTTCAAGCAATCTACATCTGCACTACGACTTCTTTGGCTACGAGGAGATCGAGATGGTCTTCGTTGACTGGTGCCCAATGGGCCAGCCCTTTCCTTAAGGTTAAAAAAAATCTCCATTATTGCTATACTTAAGTTTAAGGATTGGCTAGGATCCAGGATTATTAATTTTTAAAGAGTCAAGAATCATTCACCTAAGCAAGATGTAACTTCGCGTAATCCGATATGTGCAAAATACCATGCTGGGCAGATGCAATGTGCAAGCTGGCTCCGCATGCTCGAGGATTTATTCTGAATGTGTGCAATTCTGCGACTTGGGTACTGCACGCTGCTGCAGTATCCCCGCTAGATGATAATTTTCCGATCCAGAATTCGTTCCCTATAATTTAAACGACTGATTTTAATAAATAAATTTTGTAAAAATTATAACGTTCCACGAAATTTTTATCACGAGAACAATTGTAATTAAAGTGAACTGTTCTAAAACCTGGTAACGCGTTTCCATCCCATGCGTATGTAACCACGAGAAGTTTGTTCGTGTCCGAGGGTCTGCTCAGTTTGCTGTGAGGTTCTCTGTGAGCGAAATGAATCTTTATATCTGAAAGACAACGTGTCGTTTGTAACAACGTGCCTCTGTTAAATCGCATTTATATGTTAAAATCATTGACAAACCTCCGAGATAGTCGCCGTTTTCAGCATCGCCGCACTTTTGCTGATGGAAATCCGCGAACATTATGTCCGATACATATCTCAGTTTCTTATTCATCTTCTTGAGGGCAATCTCGAATGTCTTTAGGAAATATATTTCTTGATCTTGAATTACTTTCCATACGCCTGAAAATATTTTTTCACGTGGAAATTTACAACGATATACGCAATTATTCTAATAAATTATGATTATTTTTATGAGGTAAAATATTTCTCCAGATCATTTCTTAAACGTTAAATGGGATACTTTAAACTTACCCAGACCAAAACCTACAACGTGTAAGAAAGCAGTTGTGTTTTGCTTCTCTGCTCGTGTGTTTGCTTCGAGAAGTATGATCTCTACAGTGAGCAGTGTTCTTTTCATATAATTTTCGATGTCAAAAACCGTTTGATTATTTATCGAAAGATATCTTTTGTTCTCTTTTGCTTTAAGTCGCTTCACCGCTTCCTCGTAGAGCGGATGATATTCCTCGCCATAGAACTTTGCCCATAAAATGCGCAGTCCATGCTTTTCTTCCGAGCTTCCACTTGTTTGCGATCCATACCTATTTTGCAGACATCACAGAATTGTATACAACCTTTTATCAAATACTTTACAAACATTTTTGTATCTTAACATCTCATTCATTATAATAAATTTCATAACTCACCCATTGTCGACAGTGTTTTGTTGAGGAGTAGCAAGGATGTCTTGATATTCCATAACGGTTGATCGTTCAAATCTGCAAGCAACAGGCAAAAGAGGTGAAAAATACGAATCTTTTGCAAAAAACGCATTTATTTTTTAAATAATTCTAATAAGCATCCAATAGTTTTGTTAAATAAACATATAAAAAAACCTTGATCCCACGACACCTATAATGACTCCTCTCGGCTGTACAGAGTCTGGATCGGTGCTCACGACGCCTTCATTGTCTCGTGAACCGTTGTTTATGAATTCTGTGTGGGAGGACATCGCCATCATCGCGGATAATTTGATCTCGTCGTACGATAAACATTTCGTTAATACCTGTTAGCAACAAGTTCACAGCGTTGTATGATCATTTTTGTATTGTAGCCTCAAAATAATACAGAATTGTTCTTAATACGATTGAAAAATACGTAAAGAATATTTAAATGTTTAGTAAAAAAAAAAAATAATTGTACAAGTAAGATAGATAGACTAACCAAAGGTTCTTTTTCTTGATCCGTTCCAACGTTCTCCCATCCATTCACGCCTGTTTTTCCATCGATTAGTTTCCACGAATCGACAGGCTCATAAAAATGTACAGCTCTCTTTTCCAATAAACGATGAATAAATTGCACCAAACCCATATCCTTATACGTGGCCCTCTCGATTGCACTGCCATATAATCGTTTGTGTTTCAACCATCGAGCCAGCAATGGCAACATCGCCTCGTGTATCAAAGGGTAAACCGAATTCGCGTTCATCTACAATTAAATCTGGGACCTCAAATGTTGAATTTGAAACAAAAGTAATAATTACAATTAACAATAAGTAATTAAGATACGATTTTAATGTTACATTTACAAAATGCATATCATAATAATTATAATTCTTTTATTCGTTCAATAAGATACGACGAAGAGGAAAGGAAATATCTAAGATATTTTAATGGTCTAACCTCGAGGATGTTTGTGCTAATTCCTCTTTCTTTCAGAGCGGAACATCTTACGGTGTTAATTGGAAAATTTATAGGGAAGGCCTCGCTTCGTTTCATGATTTGTGTCAGGGTCGTAGGTGTTGATGTCGACACGTCGATACATCTTCTGAGAAGTTCCTTCGTGTCGTCATCAAAAGGAACACCATCCGGTGCTCCGAGCGAATTCTCCCACGATATTTCCGGTGGTTCCTTCAACAATGCCTGTTGACGTGTGTCATCCATTTGTGGTTGATTCTGTAAAATCGAGAAGTATTGAAAAAAATTAACAATGATTTCTGAATTTTTACCTTGAATCAATACACTTGAAGTCTATCAAACAGGGTTAAAAAAGAACGGTTCGAGATAAATTAAAATACGTTTATATATATAATCGTTAATCGACCGAATCGATCCCTCAATCAAAACAGTTTAGATCTCTTAATTTTTCTCGCATGATCGAGAAGATGTTCTTTTCTCCATTTTTTTTTTTTTCGAATAAATTTTCTTCTGATAAATTTCTCAATATCTTTATTATATAGTAGAATTAAAAAATAATAATTTCCAATTAAATCACTTTTCGAATATCGAAAACGACATATTCACTTTTTTATTCTTTACACCGCTTATTATTATTATTATATTAAAATAAGTTTCTCGTTTTCAAATTTTTTTTTCAACTTGATGCGAAACTCTTCGTAATAAATAATTTAAAAATACCTTTTTTTAACAATTATCGAAGCAATAAGAAATAAGAAAGTGAACAGAAATTGGGACATTTACCTTAGATCGCAACTTGTACGGAATAATAAAGAAGCAAGGATCCTAAGAAAATTTACAAAACTGAAGTCGTGTTCTATTAATACAAGCGCTGATTAGAGCAAGGACGCGATCTCTTTGATACTTGAGCATGAAATCCGTTAAGTAGCGGAAAATGTATCCGTTCACCCTAGCGAGTTACGTAGAACATGCTCCCAACCCCCGTAACGCGAAGTTAACTTCATTTTTCTGTTTACCGATTCTGCCACCTGAACGACAGGGGTGAGCAAGAATTAAGGCTAGCCCGCGGCCATGGAAAAATCGACTCAGCACTAATTTTTTATATTTTCTGGTAAACAATTGATTTTATTTTTTATCCTTATTTAACATGTATTTATAAATAAAATTGTGAAATGTTAATTATTTTATAAAAATAAAGCGGATTGAAAAGAACTGTTCATGTAAAATTTCGTTTCGTTATTATTATGATGCTGCTATTTGTTTGAGATGTTGAGAACTCATCTCTATTCTAAATCAATTGATCGTATAAGATGAGAAAATTTTTAACATTATTTCCAAATAAATTGATGAACCAAGATCTTGCATTTTCTTTCTTTGCTTTAATTTCTCTCAATTGTCTATCTGATTTTCATAAACGCAAAGTTTTTGTTATACTCGCTCTTTTATTTATGAATTTAAATAATTTCTAATATACATAGTTTTTTCTTAGATTTATTATTTCGATTTTTAGAAGGGAATAAATAAAACCTTCAATAGAAGGATATTTTAAAAAATTATGTGTATGAAATTTAAAGATTTAAGTTTTTTTTTTTTAAATAAGAATTGATCAGAAATTATAATAACTCTAAATTAAATATACGTGATTCATATTAATTGGAATATCGAGATAAATAATACAGTTGATCTTCGTCAATTTTTCTTAAAAAATTATATATATAATTTAATAAATACGTCGGGAATACAAAAACTTACCCGACGTATGCAACATGCGAATAGTGACATGTCAACAGCTTCGAAGACTTGTTGCAATAACGTATATGATCGGTAACGGAAAATTTCGTTCTTGTCGATAATAGAATGCAATTTTTAAACTATTTCATTCGCGTTTTTCTTCGAAATACGCAAAAATTGCTGGATTGAGTTTCGCGTTAGAATTAAAAGATGCGTCCGCATGAGACAAGTCGTGAAAGGAAACTTGTTCACACGATACGAAATACACATGCGTAACTTGTGTATTTTTGCGCTCGCGCACATTTCTTCACAGAACGGAAGGCTTACGTATGATTTGTGGGAAATTAAGATAGATTGATTTATCAGTCATTTAATATTTTTGAAATTGTTTAGGTAATTAATTAAATTTCTAGGTAATTGTGGTTTATATATATTGAAAAAATTAAGAGTTTTTTAAATTTTAATTTTAAATTTTTAATAATGTAGAAAATATATAAATTTGAATCAGATTTCGCACGGTCTATAAGTTCCATCTATCGACAACTATTATAATTATCAATAGATAATATCAATAGTGAACATATCGACAGTTTTAATCAATCTCTAGAGAGATACCTTTGACATTCAAAAGATGGCACTAACAGTCAATTTTTACGCTATTTTTATTATTTTTGCCTCTATCTGTGGCACTCTGAAGATGGCGCTGATTTTCATATTTTTATTCTCTTTGTTCTTCTATTTATTTTTTTTTGTTTATACACTTTGTAAAATTTACATATTTAAAAGATAAACTTTATTTATTATCTTCTTTTCACGAAATCGTTATATAACATTACATTTACAATTAACATTTATTTAATTCCTAATATATATAAATATATTATCTAAATTCATTTAAAAAAATCTCATAAATTGATATTACTGTAATAAAAAATAAAAATTGTATTGTAATAAAAAATATAAGTATAATTTTTAATACATATTTACATGAATCTGTCACTATTATATATAACATTTAAAATCTATGAATCCAATATTTATATGAGAACATTTAGAATACATAAAAAAAATTATTTTTAAAATCTGTTGACTTTATTAACGATTTAACTAAATGTAATTCTTGCATTCACTATTTTAAATTATAGAAAACATACTTTTCAAAAAAAAAACCATTAATTTTTTTCGCGATCGGTATTTCAGAACATGAAACACAATTATTAGATTAAATTAGATTTATCCTCTATATTTCTTTGCGCTTTCATTAATATACGTGTTTATAGATAATTGATTTTTATGATTCTTTTCAATTAAATTTTATATTAAATAAAATTTATAAAATATATGATGTATATTGAAATGGTATAGGTAAATTGTAAGTACAAACAATTTTGTATATATAAGAACAATGGAAACTAACCTGAAATCAATCTTTTGTAAATATTCCTAAAAGTTTTGAGGAACAGATCAATTCGAACCAATTCGCATGGTATAGCAGAAATTTTTTGAAGTCGACATAGTTATCAGGTGAGAAATAGAAGAAAAATATGCAATATACACATAACGAAGGGACATTACGAGGGGAGAGGAGTTTGTTAGGAAAAAAGAGAGGGAACAAGAAAAATACGTCGATAAAACTGAGGTGAATGCCGCACGGTGAACGTACGGTACGCCGAACCCCCGTTTTGGAGGTAAGTAGTTAGTCCCTCTCTCTTTACAACTGCTCAGGGACGGCCCAAGACGAGTGTGTTTGAATGATTTCTTAAGCAAGTACGCTGAGAGCTTACTAATTATTCACTGCCGGGCATAACGGGTTTTTTAAAAAATTATTTCCTTCGAATATTAATGACTTATAACATTTCATTATTTTCATATATATTATTATGAAATAATTAAATTAATGTTAAACAATAAATTATATTTAATTGTGAATAACCATTATAAAATAATTTTATAATGAAAGTATAATTACATTTTTCGATATAAACTTTTTTATTTAATATGTATATAATATAATTTATTTATATGTATTTATATATGTATAAATAAATATATATCTAAATCATTTATGATAATTTATAGGTTATTGGATGTCTGTCCTCGTGCACTTCACCTTGATATTTGATATTTTCTTTGTCAAAGATCAAGGTACGGCATTTCGATATGTCGCACCTTTCTTTTACTATTTCTCCAGAGTAAAACTATGATTCTTAATCAACATTGTAGAATGTAAAATAGATCTAAATGTAATCAAATACTTTTGTAACGTTTTTCAGCGTTTTTATTAATATTTTGAATTATTTAAAACAGAAAAATTGATATTTAATAATATTTATTTTTTTCTTGTAAAAAATATACTTGTTAAAATCAAATAAAATAGATAAACTGAACTGAACTATGCATAGAAAAGAAAACTAAAAATATTACTCATATTTCTTTATTACATTTAGCTATCATTTTTCTATCTTTATTTATTATTTAAATGTTAAAAAATTTTGTGCATTATATTATAAAATCGAAAGAAGCGAGAATTGATTGTGTACAATGAGCTTTGTATGCTAGCTACGTACCTGATGTAGTCTCACGGGCGAGGGCCTTTCAACTCGATCCGTATATTCACTATAGTCTCTCGTAAGGTGTGGTTCTCAGCGTTCTGGTCAGAACTATGCTCGTCCGGAATCAACAAGTGCTTCTCGAGACTACGTTGGGAAAACACTTGACCTAACTGAACTTAGTGAATACCTTTTTCTTCTTCGTAACGTCGTGTGCAAGAGAGAATTCGAAGAGACCGCGCATAGGTGGCAGAAAGAGTCACGGAAACTGACTGTGTATATAGATCGATGTGAGTTCACGATCTTGAGAATAAATATTGTGACATCGGTTCGAGTTGATTATAAAGATCGATCTTTCCGTATTAAGATTCGATTGCTCAAATGCGAGACCGGAATCGCCGACATTATGTGTATTATTTCGTAGTGATCAATGACTGGATGAATCATTAGTTCTTCTACGTCGAGATGCATTTGTGACGCGTGTGTTCTTTCGTCAAGATCGACAAGGATTCTATGTGTATACCGGAGTTACGCTACACGTGACTTCACGCCTTGCCGACCGCGTGTTTATTATATTGTAGATATAATTCAATAGCCAGCATAAGATTGAAGTTGACAAGGGAAAATCATCAACTATGAAGTACTGTAAGTACCAATCTTCACTTGCTTAATAATTAAGGATGTGAAATAAGAGAAATGTTCGATGAAGATGTGTGTTACATTTGTATTAAAATAATCGACTATACATATAATGATTTTAATTTACTTTATATGTATCGAAAGATTGTTCTATAGAATCATTTGTTATTAGATTCTTAAGATTCAATTTATGATTCTCAAGTTATTTATTTGATAATTTATTCTATCTATGATAGATAATGTTTATTAATAGAAACGTTTAATATTATTGAACAAATTCAGATTGGGAAATATGTGACTTCTGATGAAAGAGATAGATAACAACATTTATATTATGATGATCGATTTAAAAATTTTGCAAAGAATTTATTCGATGAAAGTGAAATAACTGTTGATAAAATAAAATAATAACATATAATTATAGTCATGCTTTATTCTAAATTCTATAAAAGCTGCTTAAAAAACAAATTTCATGATACACCTGTCACACAATGCTTTTATATTCCTGCACGTGGTATAATGAAACGTTTCATCAAAAGAATGAATTATTATTCGAAATTGATTTTATTTTAATATATAATGTTTTATAATTAATAAATAAGCATTACGATAATATTTTAGAAAATTAACTTTACGTTTGAACGTTACTGAACTTTGCCACATTGGTAACTGATTCGGAATCGATTATCGATAGATACTGTAACGGATTAAATTAAATCGTTAGAAATTCTTCATAATAACCTATTCTAAAAGTATTTTGGAATTTGAATTTTATTTTTAAGATATTATTTATCAATATACAAATTATATTTTAAAATATTCTAGAGAAATTTTTTTTCTTTGATCTGATTTTTTAATATACTTATACATAACGATTTAAAATATATGTTTTTTAAATTGTAATTTATTTTGAATTATAATTGCTTATTTATAATAATTTAATTTATTATTTATTTGAATTTATCACAAAAATGAATATCTTAAGCATGTTAAATATTTATTATGAAATTTATTATGAATTAATTATATTATTATTATAAATAAAATCAGTACCAGTTCGAAATAATATTCAAGCTAATGTTTTTATATTTGTTAGTAATATCTGTTAGTGATACTTTTTAAATTTGATTGTGCAATAAATTCGTTTGCGATATAATATGCTAACATAAGAATTTTCGAATTTCTAGAACAGGAATGCAGGTATAATAATATAATAAAAATATAAAATAATAAACTAACATATAATTTGACATATTATCGTAGGAATCTACTCAGCTAAGAATTTCTAGGACAGAAGAATAACGTTACTATGGTGATTCGTTCACCAAACACGAACATTACAACACGATTCTATCGAAAAATATTTGAATATATGCATACAAATTCTAGATAAAAAAAATATTGATTATATAATATTTATTTTTGGAAATATTTTTTTTTTTAGAAATCCAGATAAAATGGAATATTTAATTTTATATTATATTAATATTTATATTATATTAATGAATAAACAAACATAAAAATAAAAATGTTTATTTTCATTAAGAATCTTAACTAAATTTGATATGAGAAATTTCATTATAACAAAATAAAATTTTTATATTAAAAAAATAATTATAAATACTTATTTCAAATAAAATAATTAAAATTAATAATTAAAATTAAAATATATTTAATATTATTTTATTTATACAAATAACATATAATATATAATAGCACAATTGACTCATACAATATTCCATCATGTATAATTCATGTGTGCATGATTGTATCCTTCGATATGACTAACTAACCGTGTGTATCTTCGTATTCTTATTTTTAGGTTTTCATATAGGGCAATGTTCTCACATCACGAAAATATCGAAAATGATTATATTTTGAAGAATATATAAAATGTACTTACTTGCACGTAATTTTCTTTTTATTCTTATGCATACATATATTTATCATTAGGTATGTAATAAATAATTTATGAAGATGATATAAAATTTATAAATTGAAAAATATAAATATTGAATATATATAATATATTTATTGAATATATTTTCACGTGGTTATTTTTATTCATTCAGATATCCATTAATTAAATCCAAATATATTGAATTTTATCATTTGAAAGTATTATATTCCAAATGTGAAAAA